GAACAGAGGTACTGTTCAATGGCCTATGGTACCTGGCCGTGAAGATATACCAGCAAATGATCGGTCAATAAAAGTGGGATAATATTAAGGGCAAAATCATTCCAAGAGGTTTCTCAAGTGCGCAGGTATTTCCACCACCAATAATGTTTACAGCATGTTCATAAGACCTTAGTAGATATAACCAATTTAATAAACGAGCAAGAAGAATACACAGGTTACAGCCCATAAACCATTCTGAGGATAACACTGGTATGTATTAATCAGCTGAAAGCAAACGAGGAACTGAACTTCAAGGGAAATTTTAGTTACTAGATAAACCAGCTTGGAGGCTGCCCCCTCACTCTGGTTGATATTTATAAGGAGTAATTATTCTTCAAAGCGGGTGGGGGCCCTCTACACCCTCACTATAAGGAGTAATTATTCTTCAGAGCGGGTGGGGGCCCTCTACAGCCTCACTATAAGGAGTAATTATTCTTCAGAGCGGGTGGGGGCCCTCTACACCCTCACTATAAGGGGTAATTCTTCAAAGCGGGTGGGGGCCCTTTACACCCTAACTATAAGGGGTAATTATTCTTCAAAGCGGGTGGGGGCCCTCTACACCCTCACTGTCAACAAGCTACCGGGGCTCAGCTGATTAGTGATGGAATGCAGGATATGTGGTTGCCTGTGATGAGCGCTAAATAAAAGTGAAATAACGCACGCCACATTCATAATTATGTAAATAGTAATATTAAAAATCATAGTTTATTTATGATATCCTTTAAATTGTCTCCAACCTCCGCAAGTTTATTGTGTAGCCGCAGTTTATCTTGTGAGGGGTAGTTTGTACCCACAGCTCATCATGTCAGCGGTAACTTGTAGATTAGTTTATCTCTTAGTAGTTAATGAATCTAATTATATAAAATCTGTATACTCTGAAGATTTCCGGTATCTTGTTAAGAAGATAGTTCTTTGTGTGTGAATATAAAATTATAGATGTTGTTTGTCGGATTATTTGATTATATTTGTGGGTGATGTGTTGTATCTATTCAAATAAATTACAGGATGAGAAATTTGTCAGGTAGTGATGATTGTTGCGGCTAGACGACGTGTTCAAGTATGAGTGGGTGGTAGGAAGCAGAGGGTAGGTATCACAGCCGTCTGTCTGCTGGAGCTGAGTAAATCTTGATTGTTAGCGTCCGGTCTTTTGGTGGGGAAGCAGCAGCAGCAGCAGCAGCAACAACAACAACAACAAAAGCATCAGCAGCAGTAGCCCGGCACAGTCCCTTTGACAATCCGTGCAGTTTACTTAAAGGTTTCTTGTTCTCCCGATGACTGCAAGAGTTGTAGTGCTTTATCACTTATTGTGTTGGTTCTGTGATCACTTGTAGTATCAACACATCTGCTTTATATTGGCTTTATATTATGTTTCTACGTCTGTTTCTTTAAACTCTTACTTTACCCTAGGTAAGCTTGTTTATCTTGTATGGAGGACATACCTGTGGCCAGGCTTCCTTCTTTACCACCTCATTGTTATCAAAACTAAGCACTAAACCAGACCACTTGATCAGATTTGCTGTTGCTGCCTGCAGCCAGCGACCAACAGGCTAGAAATAGTACAGTGTGTCCTTGGCAAGCACATCCTTTCAAAACCACCTGTGTTGAACTTTTATCTTGCTACTCCTAGTGGTATAGTCGTCAGTTTGGCGCTACCAGCTTCTTTTCACCAAGGGTCGCTCTCTATTTCAAGAGATCTCCGTGGAGTTCGTAAAAAACTAAAAAAATGGAGATGAACCATTATTAAATATTGTTTCGGTCAGTTCTGAACCATTATCAACTCGTAGTCCAGAGCGAACCGAAACGTCAAGAGCCTTATCTGCAGTTTATAAGTTTTGAAATGTAGCCAGGGTATTGAGTTATTCTTCGTCTGGAGTTGCTGTGGAGAGTGGCTGCTGTGCGTGACATTGTGTACACGGCCTCACCGTTAATGATTAAGCAACTTTGTCTTTACTGTGGCTGCAGAGTTTCACTATCTCAGCAGCCAGGTCTCTGGCTAGTCCCCAAGCTGATGTTTGATCAGTCAGGCTGTTGTTCTTACCTATAATAAAAGTGATAATTCATTCATCAACCATTTAATACAAAATTGTAATCGCTGCCAGAATTATAACATTAAACCTCACAAAATCGACTCCTTTTAATATGATTTAAAATAGCATTATTGTTAGTAATCTCTTCAAGGAGGATGTCTTCTGGTGAAATGTTCTCAATCCAAGGAATTTGAGCTACCCTCCCACAGATCAGACTTGATTGTCTCCCATTCTCCAGGCTCTGTATAGAGCTAGAGTTAGCGCTCTTCTTTGAATATAATCAAATTTGTCTTCAAGAGGGAGCTGGACAAGCACCTACAGTCAGTACCTGACCAGCTGGAATGTGGTTCGTACTTCGGTTAGCATGCAGCCAGCAGTAACAGCCTCGCTGATCAGGCTCTGATTCACCGCGAGACCAGGTCATTGACCGGGCCTCGGGGACGTTGACCCCCGTAGCACCCAAGTGTACTCCAGTACAAGTGATAAACACGTTGATAAGATGTCTTATTCTGTGTTATTGATGTATTATTTTTGTAGCATTATAGACTCGTACCAGCTAGTATTCATATTGAAATACAATAAGCCTTGATAGAGCTAGGTATCCTGATGCTGATGAAGGGTTCTTGATACATGGAATTCAGCCGCTCCATCAGATTAAATCTTGTTTCCAATTCTCCACGTACTATATCCCCTGTACAGGTATGGCGTTTCCCCATAAATATAATTATCATACAGATAATAGTAATATGTGTATGTTTGACGGTGGGGAGGGTGGAGGCACGGCGCTCTAGTACCTGGGCTTCATTAATAACACTTTCACAAGACCTGAAAGTTTTACGACTTTACACATCTGCTGCTCTTTAACATGGCTCATTGTGTAAGAGATGTATGCTGCGTTCTGTAATTGTTATTGAAAAGTTTCCACCAGGGACTCTTATTTATATGTAACAATGGAACGTTGTAAGTCTTCAAACAAGAAATAAATGAAGCTGAGTGCATAAGTTTACTAAACATGGGTCATTGGCACAAATAGACTCACTAAGGTACACTAAGAGAAAACACCATAAGTGTCCGGGGCCCAAAACTGTTCAACAGCCTCCCATCAAGCATTAGGGGAATTGCCAATAAACCCCTGGCTGCCTTCAAGAGAGAGCTGGACAGATACCTAAAGTCAGTGCCGGATCAGCCGGGCTGTGGCTCGTACGTTGGACTGCGTGCGGCCAGCAGTAACAGCCTAGTTGATCAGGCCCTGATCCATCGGGAGTCCTGGTCATGGACCGGGCCGCGGGGGCGTTGATCCCCGGAATAACCTCCAGGTAACAGTACAGGTATAACACACGAACAGTATTGTATGTTTCAGTCTCGGTGTGAGGCACGACTCTATACTATTTATATTTTACTTTATCTTTCTTGAATTATTTATGCCAAATCAAAACTAATACAGAAAAATGAAGAATATCAGGATCTAATGTAGGAGTCTCCCACCTCTAAGTGCCAGATCAACCAGGCTGTCATGGATATGGGCCACCTGTTCGGTAAAAGCAGCAACCTGGTTGAAGAGATAATCAACAAAAATGTGACCAGAGGCCGGGCTGCGAGGTTGTAAAAGTTCCCTGAAGCGGTCATATGTCAAGAGGGGATGTAGTGGGCAGCGGAGGTTGGTGCTGGCTGGTGTAGCAACAGATAGCAGCAGGTGCAGCCTGGCCTCACCGACCCTCTGGCTGATGCCATCTTCTTGGCACTATTGTAGGGGCGTCTGGCCCCTCAAGTATTTTTACCACGGCCGCACCTTGATCAGTCATTTAGGCGTCACGCTCTACACTACCCACCCACCTCCCGCCAGGGACATTATTGTGTACATCACTGCACTGGTTATGTATGATCAGTATGAAGATTGATGCTTGCTCTTTCTCTCACTCTCTCCCCCAGCAAAAGCTCTTGCTCTAAGGAACTGAGCTACCATTTCCTTTCTCGTATCAAACCTGATGTCACCTATTTTACAGATATTGTAGGGCCCCAAGGAGCTTAGCGCATACTCGTGAATGTAACAGTTGTGTGGTGTTGCGTTAATACTAGATGAGTGAGAGACATTGTACCCCGGCTGAGTCTTGCAAAAGTACCGCTGTCAGGGAAGGATGTTCACCTCCCTGTGTACAACATGGAAACTAAGAATGCATTACAGGTAAATATAAATCATAATTTACTTGGTAAATGTAAATCATGAATTAACATACTATTACAAAAGATATATAAATAAAAAGTATGAATAATAATGACAAAATGAAATCAGATGCAATAGGGAAGTCTAAGAGTAAACACTACGCAAGACGGAATTGTTGGAAGAAAAATAGATGAGAGGTGGACGATGTAGCAGAGCGAGAGGGGAGAGGTTGTGAGTATAGTGGTAACTGGTTAGCAGTTGTTGAAGGTGGCTGGGTAGTAGAGGCGGGAATACTGCTTCCAACTGATAATGGGTTGAGGGCAGGACAAGTTGACTTGTTCAATGGTAATGCTGCTGCTTTCGGTGAAACCAGCATGTGAGTGTGACGGGAAGTGATCCTCGTGCATTTGTGATCTAGGATAGGCTTGTCGGAAGGATAGGCAACTTAAGTGATGGTTGCCTCTGTACAGAGTAGTTAATCCCGCTCCGCCTGAGTCACAACTGGGCAAGACAACACCCGCATATTTGGGAGATCAGACTTGTGACTGGGATAAGAAAGGAATATAGTAAAGGTTTCATCTTTAACATGTATGTTTAACAAATAATTACGTCAATCAAGGTTAACCCCGGTTAAACTGAGAAATGACTTAAAATCAGAAGACAACCTACAGTAAAACAGAAATACCTGAAAGCACCAATAACACAAAGCTTAACCACAACCAAAAACAAAAATGGCTGGAAACCGGAAGCACTGAACTAAGGAAGGTACTTACGTGACATGGACGAACTCTAAGAGAGAAGTGAGGGTTAACGCTCTCTCGTGGAAAGAATGAAAGAAAGAAGAGTAAGTAGGCAGAAACAGGCAGGACTCAAACTGAAGACGCCTAGATGGCGCTGGCAGGAGAGGTATACAAAAAGAAGACTGGGAAATGTAGTCGGTAAACTACCATCCCGGAAGCAAATAAGTTTAATGACAGTGAGATAGCTATGACTTTACACAGGTCTCATAATTTACTGTGGAGGCTTATTTGTGAATTATCTGTTTACGCTTGGTTACACCAGCCATTTATACGTAGTAGTATTATACACAGGCGCAACTGTCAATATTAAAGTGTAAACACTACTAGCTTTTTTTTCTTACTTTTGTGTATTATATTTTACGAGAGTCGGCTGCAGGCGCGGCTCACCCCCGAGTACATCTGTCAACCCCTTATAACACAATCACTCCTAAAATATACCAAGCCAAACTATTTTTTCCACAAACACTCATCTGTTTGTACCAAGAGTACTCATGTTCAAGTATTTTAAACACTTGCAAAATAAAGGCAAACAAAAGCATGATAGAAAACTTGTAATTGGTCATACTCCACTACACAATTACATTCATTACAACCTACCAACTATATGTAGATAACACCAAAAGAAAAAGATTACTATTTTACAAATTGTACTAAAATAAAACAAAACGAGAATAATAATAATGCACGGGCATACCCTATATATATTGTTTAGCGCTTAGTTATAATTAAAATAACCTACATATTATAATCATAACTAAGCGCTAAACCCACAAGGGTGACACACCGCTGCTCCCCTACATATAGAATACAACTAATACTATTTATTAGCTTACGAAACTTTTCTTCTGAGAAAGTGGAATCTAAAAGTCATTTCATTTTCAGTGCTCTTAAGGTATTTGAAAGAGCACACGTAGTAACTTTTAACGTTTCCCAACACCACTTGACATTCTCCATTCTCCTCTATATCCAGTTTCCGTAAGGTTATTTAGAATTTTTTTCAACACTTCTTTTAACTTTCTCCCATCCTACCTTATCACTATTTTCAAAATTCGCGGAACATGCCGAAGTAAGGTCCCAAAGTTTTTTCATTCCACTATAATTGTTAAACCTAGTTCAGGAAGATCACCTTCCCAACAACCTGGTTGACCAGGCAAGTACCACACAAACCTGGCCCCATCGAATGTTTATCAGAAGTGAAGCTAAGTTCGTGCAAGGGGTCTTGTCTTGTTCTTTCTTGTAGTTGCATTTGGGTCATCACCAGGTAGATGGGCATAGAATATTAACCTCGGGGCTATAACTCTCTCTTCCACTTGGCAAACCTGACAGGGGTTTAAAAGGAATAATAAGAGAAAGAAGTAGGGCCTTCGTGCTGTGTGTCGTTATCAGGGTTCGTGTTAAGGAAGTGATGGTATCAAGAATACAACTGATGAACTATTATTGGAGGCGATGTATTGATATTCGTGGCAAGCCCAGGTCTACCACGTCTGCCTGTCCCTGAGGTCTGGCCGAGAGTGATGTAGAGGTCTGTCAGACACTCCCTCTGTGCGTGATATAAACGGGGGTCACGTGACTAAGGCTTGGCCAGGGAACTTGCCTATAATGGTACATGACATATACATACTACACAAGTATTGGACTGCTGACATCGTTATTCTTAGTCTAACCTCCAGATTTTGCGAACAGGCTGCGACTAACAAGGTTGGACCAAGCGGCGTGAATGGACGTTGATGGAGCCAAGGTGGCATTGTCTTGGCAGAAAATATTTGAGAGTAGTCCACTTTAGGAGTCAACTGAGAAAGTCAGGTATAGCTGACATTGTATTCTTCGATACAGTGGGTGATGAAAAACTTTTGATCCTAGGAATTAGAATTAACCTTCCTTTCGATGAATCAAACTTGATCACCTCTCGTTCCGTATTTAATGTATGACCTTCATGAGTTTAGCACTTCCCCATGAATATTATTATAATAATTATTATAACCGCTGATTGCAGTGAGTGTATACCAAGGTGTCATCAGTATTGAATCTGATTGGCCTGAATCATGTAATCATGGATCATGTGATCCTGAAAATAGTGTTGTTGGATTAGCAATTGATGTAGTTAGAAACTAAAAGTTTGTTGGAACTCTTGAAGATTCTTCAGAGTTCACAATTAATTATCATCAACACAAACTTAAATTACTTGTTCTAAAACTAGTTACTGATATTGTAAAGAAAACAAGAATTGACTCGGTAGTATTTTTTAGACTTAGTTTTATTTTCAAACTTCAGAAATACTTCCAACAGTATTACGATACACAAGAAATGTGCAAAAAAAAAAAAAAAACATTAATGGGTAATATCTCGTGATAACCTACCTTAAAGAATGGTTGCCATGTTGATGGCAAAGGTTTCTTGATATTTGCAATTGAAGCGGGTTCACCACTTCTCCATGAACTTAATTTTTGTTAGAGAGAACTCCAGTACCTTGTGCCGCAACTTTATATTAGAGTCTTGTAGAGAACCCTATCAGAGGTCTTATTGAATTCTGGATAACAGTGGCAAACTCTCCAGTCGCCCGCTGCTTCAAATTGTTTGGTGGGGGAAAAGTCGGCCAAATTGTTGGGCAGTAACATCCACTGTGAAGGTAAAGATTTTATAGAGACAAGCCTCGAAAAGCTCTCTTTTGGGTGAAACGTTGTCCCAAAGTCTTATTATGCTGCACGTGTCTTTGTTTTTCATTCCTGTCTGCAGTACGACCGTCAACACCATTGTTGTGGAACTTGTCTAGTACGACCCTATACACTGTTGTGGAACTGTCTGCAGTACGATCCTCAACAATGTTGTGGAGCTGTCTGCAGTACGACCCTCAACAATGTTGTGGAACTGTCTGCAGTACGATCCTCAACAATGTTGTGAAACTGTCTGCAGTACGATCCTCAACAATGTTGTGAAACTGTCTGCAGTACGATCCTCAACAATGTTGTGAAACTGTCTGCAGTACGATCCTCAACAATGTTGTGGAACTGTCTGCAGTACGACCCTCAACAATGTTGTGGAACTGTCTGCAGTACGATCCTCAACACTGTTGTGGAACTGTCTGCAGTACGATCCTCAACAATGTTGTGGAACTGTCTGCAGTACGACCCCTCAACAACACTGTTGTGGAACTGTCTGCAGTACGACCCCTCAACAACACTGTTGTGGAACTGTCTGCAGTACGACCCTCAACACTGTTGTGGAACTGTCTGCAGTACGACCCCTCAACAACACTGTTGTGGAACTGTCTGCAGTACGACCCCTCAACAACACTGTTGTGGAACTGTCTGCAGTACGATCCTCAACAATGTTGTGGAACTGTCTGCAGTACGATCCTCAACAATGTTGTGAAACTGTCTGCAGTACGATCCTCAACAATGTTGTGAAACTGTCTGCAGTACGATCCTCAACACTGTTGTGGAACTGTCTGCAGTACGATCCTCAACAATGTTGTGGAACTGTCTGCAGTACGATCCTCAACAATGTTGTGAAACTGTCTGCAGTACGATCCTCAACAATGTTGTGGAACTGTCTGCAGTACGATCCTCAACAATGTTGTGGAACTGTCTGCAGTACGATCCTCAACAATGTTGTGGAACTGTCTGCAGTACGACCCCTCAACAATGTTGTGAAACTGTCTGCAGTACGATCCTCAACAATGTTGTGGAACTGTCTGCAGTACGATCCTCAACACTGTTGTGAAACTGTCTGCAGTACGATCCTCAACAATGTTGTGGAACTGTCTGCAGTACGATCCTCAACACTGTTGTGGAACTGTCTGCAGTACGATCCTCAACAATGTTGTGGAACTGTCTGCAGTACGACCCCTCAACAACACTGTTGTGGAACTGTCTGCAGTACGACCCCTCAACAACACTGTTGTGGAACTGTCTGCAGTACGACCCTCAACACTGTTGTGGAACTGTCTGCAGTACGACCCCTCAACAACACTGTTGTGGAACTGTCTGCAGTACGACCCCTCAACAACACTGTTGTGGAACTGTCTGCAGTACGATCCTCAACAATGTTGTGGAACTGTCTGCAGTACGATCCTCAACAATGTTGTGAAACTGTCTGCAGTACGATCCTCAACAATGTTGTGAAACTGTCTGCAGTACGATCCTCAACAATGTTGTGGAACTGTCTGCAGTACGACCCCTCAACAATGTTGTGGAACTGTCTGCAGTACGATCCTCAACAATGTTGTGGAACTGTCTGCAGTACGATCCTCAACAATGTTGTGGAACTGTCTGCAGTACGATCCTCAACAATGTTGTGGAACTGTCTGCAGTACGACCCCTCAACAACACTGTTGTGGAACTGTCTGCAGTACGATCCTCAACAATGTTGTGGAACTGTCTGCAGTACGACCCCTCAACAACACTGTTGTGGAACTGTCTGCAGTACGATCCTCAACAATGTTGTGGAACTGTCTGCAGTACGACCCCTCAACAACACTGTTGTGGAACTGTCTGCAGTACGATCCTCAACAATGTTGTGGAACTGTCTGCAGTACACCCCTCAACAACACTGTTGTGGAACTGTCTGCAGTACGATCCTCAACATGTTGTGGAACTGTCCTGCTACGACCCTCAACAACACTGTTGTGGAACTGTCTGCAGTACGATCCTCAACAATGTTGTGGAACTGTCTGCAGTACGATCCTCAATAACACTGTTGTGGAACTGTCTGCAGTATGACCCTCAATGTGGAACTGTCTGCAGTACGACCCTCAGTAACACTGTTGTGGAACTGTCTGCAGTACGACCCTCGACAATGTTGTGGGACTGTCTGCAGTACGACCCTCGACAATGTTGTGGGACTGTCTGCAGTACGACGCTCAACAATACTGTTGCGGAAATGTCTGCAGTACGACCCTCAATACTGTTGTGGAACTGTCTGCAGTACGACCCTCAACAACACTGTTGTGGAACTCTGCAGTACGACCCTCAATGTTGTGGAACTGTCTGCAGTACGACCCTCAACACTATTGCGGAACTGTCTGCAGTACGACCCTCAACACTGTTGTGGAACTGTCTACAGTACGACCCTCAACAATGTGGAACTGTCAAGTACGACCCTCAACACTGTTGTGGAACTGCAGTACGATCCTCAACAATTGTTGTGGAACTGTCTGCAGTACGACCCTCAACACCGTTGTGGAACTCTGCAGTACGACCCTCAACGCTATTGAGGAACTATGCAGTACGACCCTCAACAATGTTACGGAACTGTCTGCAGTACGATCCTCAACACCGTTGTGGAACTCTGCAGTACGACCCTCAACGCTATTGAGGAACTATCTGCAGTACGACCCTCAACAATGTTACGGAACTGTCTGCAGTACGATCCTCAACAATGTTGTGGAACTCTGCAGTACGACCCCTCAACAATTGTGGAACTGCAGTACGACCCTCAACAATGTTGTGGAACTGTCTGCAGTACGACCCTCAACAATGTTGTGGAACTGTCTGCAGTACGATCCTCAACAATGTTGTGGAACTGTCTGCAGTACGACCCTCAACAATGTTGTGGAACTGTCTGCAGTACGACCCTCAACAATGTTGTGGAACTGCAGTACGACCCTCAACAACACTTGTGGAACTGTCTGCAGTACGACCCTCAACAACACTGTTGTGGAACTGTCTGCAGTACGACCCTC